CAAAAATCGTGCACCTATGGATGAGGACAGTGGGTGGGGAGTGAGGGCGGAGGGTGGGGTGGGAACTGGGAGGAGGGGAGTTATGGGGGGAAAAAGAGGAACAAATGTAATAATCTGAACAATAAAGATTTAATTTTAAAAAAAATGAAAATAAGAAACAGCAAAAAAAAAAAAAGATCTCTATGCCTGGGACACCCCCAACCAATTAAGCCTGGCCCTTCGGGGCATCAGCACGATGGCAGGCTCCCCAGAGCCCTCTAATGTGTAGCCAAGTCTGAGCGGCACGCACACAGGGCCTGTCCCTCCTCATCCTCTCAAAGCAGCTGCTCTGCCCAGTCTCTGTCTCAGAACCTCTTCTGTGTCTCTCATAGAATTCATTTAATCTATGTTTTAAGTAAATGTTTATGTCATCTTCAAAAAAACAAACAAACATATCCTCTTAAAAAGTGAAACAATTCATCCCTGGGCAGGTGGCTCAGTTGGTTGGAGCACCATCCCACACACCAAATCGGTTCAATCACCAATCAGGCGTGCATGTTGGCAACCAATAGATGTTTCTCTCTCACATCAATGTTTCTCTCCCCCTTCCTCTCTCTCTAAAATCAAGGAAAACAGCCCTGGCCTAGGTGCTCAGTGGTTAGAGCATTGGCCCGCAAACCAAAGGGTATTGGGTTCAATTCCCAGGCAAGGGTATGTACCTCAGTTTCAGGTTCAATCCCCGGCCCCGCTAAGGTGCGTGTGGGAGGCAACCAATCTATGTGTCTCTCTCACAAGATGTTTCTCTCTCTCTCTCTCTCTCTCTCTCTCTCTTTCCTCCCACCCCCTTCCACTCTCTAAAAAAAAAAAATATCCTCAGGTGAGGATTAAAAAACAAAAAGTGAAACAGTTCATAAATATGTAAAGAAAAACCTAATATTCACTCTACATTCTTTGATTTCCTTCCTTTCCCCAGCCCATATTCATGTCTCCCTACACATGTTTGGGGCAATCTCTGAGAGCTTTTCCTATGCATTTATTTATCCATTTGAGATTTATTTCATTTTATTTTGACATCACAGCTTGAACTGTGACTACACACATGACCCAAGGAATTAAAGACGAAAAAAAATTTTACAAAGCTACAACTTACTAAATATTTAAATCCCCCTTTTAGCTCGTGAGCCACATGGTTGTTGCAGTGTCAGAGACCCAGGTACAGATCTGCCACGTACATGACAGTATTCCAAGTACAGTCACATGGAAAATGTGTGGGCCCACCTGTTGTTTACTAACGCCAACATACAAATGAGTGGTTATATAATAAAATCTTTGTCATACATACTAATGCTTTTCATTACTACTTCCCACACGGTTACCCCTAGTGCTTAATATTGAAAAGCTCAGCCAACTAAAACGCCCTCTGTGAGAGTGTATATAAATGGATGGAGTCCGCCATTCCAACTACCAAAAGAAGAATCCGCCTTTTCTTTAAAGGAAGATAGACATTTGTTATATGGGCTGTATATACATTCTTGCCCCAGTCCTGCACACACAGCTAACTTTGGCATTCACAGTAGTTCTGTTCCAGGAAGTCACTGTGAACACTGAATTGGCAAATACCGCCCCACGGCTCCTCGGGGAAACCAGGATCAGGCTCCTGCCAGTCTCTGGTCACACTTCCCTCAGCGGATCAATGCGCAGCCGCGCTTTGGGTGTGTCCTGTTTTAAGGTGCTGCACTGAATACACATTGTCGAAGTGTGAACACTCAACTCATGGCCAACAGCGCTATAACTCAC